CAACAAAGCATAATTGCTAAAGACGAATGAGTAGAAGCCTATTTACCCTCAATAGCCATCAGTTGATGCGTAACGAAGAGGTTTCGTTTGGTAATTATATTTTTAAAGTGTCTCTTCTCTACGGGTAACTCGTAAATGGCCCTTATGATAGCCCACTCTAAGGATTTAAGCTCGAACCGATTAACTACAGTTGTACAACAGTACACATCAGATATGAGAAATTAAAGGCAATGGTATAAAGTAAACATTGTTGTGACCATGGCTAAACTCACTATACTCGTGATATTAGGTCGGCATAGTTATCTTTGGGTCCACATCTCCCTCCATCATCTGCCAACGACCCCTAACCCAAAATCAAGATGACTTCCAATTCTTGGTAGAGGTCGGAGTCCCCAAAATAAAGGAAGAATGCGAGCCACAAGGGTTCATTCAATACCACCCCTTGCAGTCGCTCCCTCCACTCGAGGTTCGAGGTTGGAAAAGGGTCGAAAAATATGAGAAGGCATATCCTCGCCAAGGGTGACCTCCTTCCAAAGGAGGAAGGCCCCTACTAGTTGGCTCCATGCATTGGGTTCCAGTTGGGTTGGACCCAAGTTATACTACCTAAGAATAAATCTAAAAAGGGCGTTCAAGGGTAGCCTCATCACCTGGCTAGAATGGCCTCACTCACCGCTACGTACCTCTCTCTAGGAAAGCAGGCCCTCTCCTTTGAGGTCAATACGAACATTTCTACATTATCTGGGATCCTATACCTCTCCCGAAAGGTCTTTAACTCAACCTCTTTTATATCAATCGGCCACAGGGAAGCCCCCATCTAATGCTATAATCTGTGGGGCCCTCCTGCATCATCCATGCACTATGGGGTTCCCCATCGCCTCCATGATCCTTTCGGTAGGAATCACTGGAGGAATACTCATCTCTGCGCAAATTAATGCCATGTTCACCCCAGAAGACCCGTTAGACACGTTCTTTTTCGAGGAAGAAGCCATCTAACTTAGTAGGTGAAGAAAATGCCTCGATAATGATAAATACTTACACAAGATTTAAGGCCCAAGATCTGGAATGTAGAGAAAATGAGAATGAATGGAGTTGAACGTCGGACGCAGCAGAAAAAATGCTAAAGAAAGCAGTAATGCTCTTCGTAATAAAGGGTTTGAAGATTTCACAAAGTGCAGAAAAAGGGGAAAAATGTAGGTTTTCAGCTTTATATATGCGTAATGAACGAACCCTCAATGTTGGATCTTCCTCCACTTTAATCTAGGCCATCCACCTATAATCCCACCTAGCAGGTTAACTTCAAAGGGCGCTTGTTCAAGGTTCAAACCAAAGGCCCAGATTGAGTCGTGTTGAACATGCCTCACAAACTCGCTTGGTGCCTGCCAGATATAATGTACCATCATCATTGCGCATTGAATGCGCAGGTAGCTCGAGCCTAGGAAACTGCTATGGCATCCAGCTATCCTCATCGGAAATCAACACACCCCTCAAATCATTATAGCACGCCACCTGGCAACATCCAATGGTCTTGCCTAACAATTGTGCAACCTTACTATAGGCTCCTTTTTTAAGGGGGCTCGGTAGATTCTCCAATAGCCTCGCCTAATGGCTGTGCAGCCTTACTATAGGCTCCTGCTTTAAAGAGGCTCGGTAAATTCTCCAATAGCCTCGCCTAATGGTTATGCAGCCTTGCTATAGGCTTCTGCTTTAAAGAGGCTTGGTAAATTCTCCAATGGCCTCGCCTAATAGTTGTGCTGCTTTACTATAGGCTCCTACTTTAAAAAGGCTCGGTAGATTCTCCAATGGCCTCACCTACACTCTCCAGCCTTATTGTGTTCAACTACCAAATAGGCTCACCCTTTACTTTCAGAGCCTCGTCATATACCACTCAACCGCGTTGCCAGTTTCAATTAATGAAGCCTTCTTCTTTCTTAGACTAGCAAGTCCACGCATTATATAAATAATCACACCTGGACTTCGAGGACTGTTATGACTCATATAAATAATCAACCCTATGTGGCGGACGGATTTGAGGACCCCTACCTTACGTGGGAACATAGACGACCCCGTTAGAGAGAGGCGACCTCTATCATATGAAGCGAAAGTGGACCGACTCCATTTGGACAGATTACTGGGTAAGATCCATAACAGATCTTGTGGTGAAGTGATTGACAAGATAACTCACTGTCAACACCGCCTCTGCACACCTACACGATCCAATCCCACCTGTACAAATCAAGATTTGTAGATACATAAGGGGTCTTAGCATTTAATGCTCTGATTGATTGATTGATTGATGCATATAACAAGAAGGGCCAATCAATTTTTGATGAAGCCGCATGCCCTATTATCAGACTGACATTGTTTCTCCTATCCCAGTATAAAAGCCCACACTTTGTACCATTGAAGGCTAATGCAAGTTTAGACTCTCAATCCAATATTCTTATTGCATACAATTCTGATATTCTACCCCAAAACCGACCCCCTTTTTTCAATTGGAAGCTCACTTTCTATGCTCTTCCACGCCCTAAATCACTCCTCCATCTTGGTGGAGTCGTCTTAACCAGCGACTGGTCCAAGTGTGTTAGGATTCAACTTACGTGGACGCGAGAAGTTTGGGGATCTGTTGGCCACATCATTGGTACAATTTTTGGGTTAACAGTTTCTATCCATTTCTCAGTTAACCACCAAAATAAAAAAAAATAAAAAAAATTGACAATTTTCTACCAAAATAGGAGACGGCAAAATGGTAACTTAATATTTTTCCCATAAAATAATTAAAAAATTTAAATCAAAAACAAAAAAAATAAAAATAAAAGAAAAAGGAAAATGTATCTTCTTCACCCTCACTCTCACCCTCACCCTCACCCTCACCCTCACTCCCACGCACAAGCCTAACCCCTAGACCAAAAACCAGAAATTTGCCATCGCCACACCCACCCCATCGACCACCATACCACTGTGAACACCAATTCCTTGTTGATTCTTTAATCTTCATAACTGAAGAGAGAATTGGGATATAGGGTTTTCATGGTGAGGTTGATATTCGGTTTCATCATGAATTTTTGCTGCAGAATATGGGTTTTCGTGTATGTTTATGGGGTTTTAAAGCCCAAATTGTCATCTGATTTTGTTAAGAATTTGGGTGAAAAATCATAGGTTTTCGAGGAAGAAAAATTGCTGTAAAATAGAAAAAAGAAAACCCACAAAATTAAACTATACCAAGAAGTAGCAACACTCGAGAAACATTTGCAAAATTCACAAACTCCAATCAAATTATTTATTTGAAGAAATAAAATGCACAAGTCTTTCAATTGTTAACAAATAGCAAGAAGACACATACAAACAAAAGAAATAAAATGAGAGAACCACTATTATAAGCTCCCATCATTCCCATGAGCAAAAGCTTCATATTATTTCCAACAATTTCATCATACCATTCTGAAAGAAACTCGAGTAGTCTGCAGAGGTAATTAGCCTTGCGAACAAAGAAAAGTATTGCATTTTCGAAAAACATTGTTTTTTATTCCAATTCTTTATTCTTCTTTGAACAGATTCTATTTTGTGCTGGGTGTGATACTATTGGTGTGGGAGATACTTTTTCGAAGATTTTGGAGGCAGTAATGTGATGGTTAAAGTGGTGAAGTGTGGCGAATTTTTTTTTAATTATTCATTTCTTGAAGCGATTGTTCTTGGTTTAACAAGGAATTGGTGTTCACGGTGGTGGTCGATGGTGGTGGGCGTGGTGGCGGCAGATTTCTGGCTTTGGGTTGAGGGGTTGGGCTTGTGCGTGGGGGTGGGGGTGAGGGAGAAAATTATTTTCCTTTTTCTTTTATTTTGATATAACTTTTTTATGATTTTATGGGAAAAATAGTAATTTACTAGTTACTATTTTGCCCTTCCTTATTTTTGTAGAAAGTGGTTAATTTTTTATTTTGGTGGTCAACTAATGGAGAAATAGATAGAAACCGTCCAAAAGGGCCTCACTTACAATGTTTGGAAATGTTATGAGTAACGACTGCAACAAATCCAAGATTTGGAGAAAGCTTGTTAATGTTTCAAAGGTTTGGAACTTTTGCTGTAATTATCCATTTTTTGAGTGATGATTTTTATGTATATATAATTGAAATTTATCACCTATTTATATATTTCAATTTATACATTACGAAATAGTGTCAATGATTCATGAAATGTCAAATTTTTTTTTTTTTTTTGAAAAGTCACTAGAAATCAAACTAAAAAACTAGCCTTAATGGGTCGTTTCCAAACCCATGTGAACGCATGGGCGCATGGTTCATGAGTTTTTGCCTCAACTTTTGATGAGGCAAGCCATGCGGATACATGGCTCTAACCCAAGCGTGCACGTAGAAATTAAAGGACCAAGGGTGCAACATTATATTGGGCTAGTTCAAAGCTTATGTAGATAGCCGCACAATAGATATGTTCATTATTGAAACTATAAAATATTTCTTTCCATTTTTCAATCCTAAATCAGTACTCGTTGGAATCAATGATTTTGTGATTAACTAAAGAGAAATGCTATTCATCCTCACTGGGGATGCATCCACAGTCTATGTGACGTTAATGTGGCATTAAATGATTGGTGAAATTAAATAAGTCATTTAATTTCACCTATCATTAAATCAATCATTTACATCTACATAGACTGTGGATGCATTCCCACTGGGGATGAATATTATTTTTCTTAACTAAAGTATTCAATTCTCTACCAAGTATTGTGTTACAGCATGAACGTCCATTTTATTGAAAAGTTGTTTTTCTTTCTAATTTAAGAGAATAAAATCATTTAGGAGATAAGACATTTGTAACTACCTCAAAACGGTTCCTACTTTCTTGGTTCTAAATCTCACCGAAATATTGCATCGCCTAACTTCCCTTTCTATATAAACCCACACACAGAAAATAATATTTACAAGAAGAATTCAAAACCTGAACAGTTCTCATCATCACAACTGCAAAAAACACTCCTTTGCATCAGATACATGGCTTCCAAGTCTTTTTGCCTCTTCTTTTTAGTGTTGTGTTCATGGGTTTCTGTGGGTTTTTCGCAGGGTGGCGGTGGCGGCGGTAGTTTGCCGTGCATGCAAAAGCTTCTTCCATGCCAACCCTATTTGAAGTCATCTTCTACACCACCAGCAGCTTGTTGTGTCCCACTGAAACAGATCATAGCCGACGATAGTAAGTGTGTTTGTGCCGTATTTAACAATCCCGAAATCATGAAAGGCCTCAATGCAACGCAAGAGGATGCTCTCAATATGGCAAAGCATTGTGGTTCTAATGCTGATACATCCGTTTGCAAAACAGGTTATTTAATACATGAATTGAATTTTACTAAACTTGTATGGATTTGAAATTATAAATCTTAGATTTATGGTGAGACTTTTTTGAAACTGAAGAAATTTTTGATATTTTATAAATTTATTTTCCTCCAGATTACTTTCCAATTGATAAATTAATTTGTTACACAGATCCAGTATCTTTTAATTTGATGAATCATTATATTTCAAAGTATTTAGTTTCTATGGCTCTATTTTCTTTTTCTTTTTAGTTCAATTGTAACGAATGAAATTGAAAAACCCGAAATATATAATCAATTTTGATTTTGTTAATTAATCTAAGTTAACCAGATTACAATGCTACCATGCAATTGATTTTCATGATAATATTTCTAACTTAATGTTGTTCCCTTGTATTACAGCCTCTACACCAACTGTTTCACCATCTCCACCTTCTTCTAATAGTAGTAAGTTGGTTACTGCTAATTTTGAATTATGAGAGATTGACTTATTTTACATCTATCTAATCCACCTGTGCATGATTTCAGGTTCACCTGCGAAAAGTTCAGCTTCTGTGGTTTCTTATTTTGGGGGATCCGATTCCCTAACACTGGCAGCGGCAGCCATTCTGAGTTTGATTCCTGCAACCATAATATTCTAGAAAATTTTCCATTTCAATCAAATTTAACTTAGCCAAACATCTGGCTTAATTTGGTTTTAGAGTTATTTCTTCAAGACTATATATATGATTTTTTCCCATAAAAGCACATTGGATCCTTCTACCTTATTTATTAATACTTTGCTTCAAGTATCTAAAGATTTCTCTGACGGAGGAATCAACAATCTAATCTAATCTTAATATTTGTTCTTCAGTTCCATGCATGTTAAACTGGATTTGTGGGCTCAGACTATTATTTATAAATTATATATAGGAGGAAATTATAAGAAATGTCCACTTTCACATGACCATTTGTAAAAATGTCCAAACAATATTCAATGTCCATTTTGCAACATTTTAGACCAAAACATCATTGTTATCAATTTAAGATTCCACACTAAAGACAAAAATGTGCATACAATTAAAAAAATTTGTTGACCAATAAAATTTTGACACATAACCTACCTTACTTATTTCAAAAGTACATATGTCAAATCACAATAAATGCTAAATTTCTCATTGACACAGATATTAAATATCGAGAACTACATTTCAAATGTCAAGAATTTTATGAAATATAGAGAACTCTTATGTTAGGAATGAAATCTCTCGTTATGGACAAGTGAAGTATAAAGATAAATAAAATTCAAATATCGTTAACAACTTTTAAAATGTTGAGAACGTCATTTTTAACGTAGTTTCTCATGGAAGCTACTTATTCTTCTCGAAATTCGTAACAAAGTGAAAAAAAAATTGCTTTATTTTTCATTAAGGGCATAATAGACAATTAGTACTAAATTTAGCCATTTTTGCAAGAGTTATCAAAATTAGACATTTTTTTAATTGACAAGCATGAAATTAGACATTTTTTTGTAAATTCCACTTATATATGTTATACCCTGACCAATGGACGTTCGTGTAAATTAAAAATAAACTTTAATTTCAATATTACAATTCTAGATGACAGGTACTCAATCAAAATATCATATACTCAGTTTTTAACAGTTCTGACGCAACGTGTAGGATGTTACAGTGTTGTTAACAGCTTTACATCATTCGTCCCAATTATATAGGCTTGTTTTGTTTTTCACACGGATTAAGAAAGTTTCTTTAATATCATTGAAAAGTTAAATTTTGCTAAGATCTTTCTTAATTTACCTCTATTTAATTTTTGCCACTAAATTATTGTTGAAATTAATCAAGAATTTGAATGATATAATTTGATGAGAATCGTTGGGAACCATAACTTGAATTTTTTGGAACAACTAAAATAAAAATCAGCATCTAACACCAGAATATAAACTTTTTTGATCAAAACAAATTTCCATTCCGCCAATTTCGTACCGAAAACGCCAATTTTGATTTCAAATTTTTTGATTGCACATTATAAATAGAGATACAGAGATAAATTTAAGCACAAGTAAAAACATGAATAGTACATCAAAAACTTTTTCCATTGATTTGAATTTGTTGCCTGAAAACATGCCTATACGATAATGCTTCACGTACAATCATTTTTCCACAGGAGGCTTACAGAATTTCAAAAAAAGGGATGTGGCACTGGCACTGCAAGACTCCTTCATTATTTCCTGACAATTCCTACCCACCCGCCCCCTTTTACCCACCCAACCAACCAAGCACAACCCTCCACAGCCAATCCTTCCCCTTTTTTCTTATTTTATTTTCTCAAATATTGAAAGTATTACGTGAATGTTAAACGAAGTCGAAATAGTACATCCTTAACACCATTTCGAAGTACTCACGATCTAGTTTGTCGCTTTCTTAACCGCTGCGAAACGGCCAACTGTAGCAAAAGTTACTAGACGTCGAAATAGACCGTTCCAAAATATATAAATATTTTTTTTCTTATTTTTATCTCAATTTTCGGGTTTATCATGGGATGTCAAACGAAATCGAAATCTCCTATTCTTAACACCATTTCGAAGTACTCACTACCTAGTTTATTGCATTCCTAACCGCGTGCGAAACGGCCAACCGTGGCAAAAGTTACCACTCGTCGAAATAGGCCGTTCCAAAATATATAAATATTTTTTTCCAATTTTTATCTCAATTTTCGGGGTTATGAATGTCAAACGAAATCGAAATCTTGTATTCTTAACACCATTTCGAAGTACTCACGTCCTAGTTTATTGTATTCCTAACCACGTGCAAACTGCTAGCCGTAGCAAAAATTATCACTCGTCGAAAAAGGCATTTTCAACCGTAGCAAATATTGCATTTTTGGCCAGCCTATTTTGACGAGTGGTAACTTTTGTTACGGTTGGCCGTTTCGCACGCGGTTAGAAATGTAATAAACTAGACCGTGAGTACTTTGAAATGGTCTTAAGAATACAAGAT